TTCGGGTTTATTTGTGTCATCCTAGCTTGTATGCTTCCTTTAAGTGTTTTTATGTGCTCTTGGGCCGGTCTTGTGTGACTTTGGTGAAATATGATCACCCGGATTGGGAAACTAAGACAGTAGTTGAATATCAGCTTTTTGAAGTTTATAAAAGGCTCATGGTAGCACCAACAGTAAGCATGTTGATAGAACCCACAGTGTATGCACGTCACTACACTGTCACTACACTACTGTAGGAGCTATGGTGAGATCCTGAAATGCTAAGACAGGAACCTTAGAACCCTCTTGGGAAAAGAGGCCTTGCTCTTACGAAAAGTTAAATTTCAGGTGTAATTGGTAGTTGAATTAATAGGACCAAAAGAAGGGCCCCAGGGGTTCTGAGGGTGTAATTAATGAAAGTCAGGCACAAGGCTTCTCCTTGGCAGAAGGGCCTGAGCTTTAGTTGGATGCTGGATGTATAGAATGGGGAAAAGTGAACTTCACAGTAGGGAAACGCATTGTTGTGGACAAAAGGTGATCCAGAGACAGGCTGACTGAAGGCAGTGTTTATTGGAAATAAGATGTGGACTAGCGGTTTGAAAATGAGGAGGACCTAGTGTCAGAGGTAATGTCTGTACTTGATGGAACAATACAAAATTTGGGCCTGTTACTTAACGTTATGGTTGCCAGCAGAATTGAAGAAAATCTGATAGAAAGATTTTGAAAGGGAAGAAATAAATATACCTCACACAGCAGAAAGTCAGTACATCTATCCTAAATTAATAAATCCAGTGACACTGTAGACATGTATTCTTAGAGTAATCGGAGCTACTAGTGGACATCAAGGTAGGAATATTAGAAGTAAGGAACTGTTGAGTCCTGGGTGGGAAAGGGTGAGGCAGAGAATTCTTGTAACCGGATGCATCTATAATTTGATGACAATATTAAAATGCTTTTGAGTTGTAGTTAGACCATAAAGGGTCTTGAATAGCAGACAAGGACTGTGAAATTTGTTTTTCAGTAATAGAGAATTGAGGTTTGTTAAGATTTCTTGGAAAGGTGCTAAGTGAATTATAATAGACAGTTTGAGACAGAAGTCCGGTCTACCAGGCTGGGGCTCAGTGTGTGTGCATGGGTGTGTGTGTGTGTGTGTGTGTGTGTGTGTGTGTGTGTGTTGGGGGTTGGAGTTGAAAGGCAAGGGTTAAAGAGATATTACAAAGGAAAAACCAGATTTGGTGATTAATTGAAAATCAGTGCAAGGGAGAACAGTGCAAGTATTAGTAAAATATCAGTGAACTACTTTGAAACCAAACCCATTAGTAAGTAAATGTAGATATTTTCTCTAAATGTCATCATAATGCCGAGCATGCTACACATTTTATAAATATGCCTATATAGTTAAGGAATAAATAATTTCCTAAGAGATACATGATTCTGATACTTTTGTTTTGCTGGCTCATTTTGTGTGTCACTCAGCAAATGCTTAATTTCATTCTGTGTATAAGTTACTATGTTAGTTTTGGGGTTAGCATCTGTATACTTCAAATAGAAAGGCTGATTAGTTTTCTTTGTTGAAAAATTACCTTTATTACATTTATTGAGGAACTAAGAATAATGTCCAGTAGAGTCAACACCAAATGTCTGGCAAGATCACTCCTTGTAAAGGGCGAGCTTTCAGTAATTCATCTGCTCGGTACTATCCCAATCACTTTACTGAGCAACAGCAGACCCCTCACAGTGTCACATGAAGTCTGCTGGGAGACACGGTGGAAGGCAGGCAGTTTTAGTCCTGGTGAGCAGAGGGTAGTCTGAAGGCAAAATACAGGATATTTATTAGCTGAAGTACCTGACCTGGGGCTCGGTTCAATGTGTGGTTGTGATAGAGATGTGTCCCTTGAAAAATAACAGCTTGAGCTCATAAGTGGGGACTCAGACAACACAGGTGTGGGAAGGTAAGAGATAGCGGGCAGAGACGTGGAAGGGGAAAGAAGAGGTGAGCATGACCAGCTAAGCAGGAGTCTTGTCTCGAAGATTGTGGCACATTAAATTAGGTAGATTGGATTTTAACCTATGCCATGGAAGAGTTGGAAACATGAGAAGTGATAGGTTTGTCTTTTACTTGTGTATCTGATTGAAGTGGGTAGTGTGGATTGGTGTGGGCCAGGCTGGAAATAGGGAAACCAGCCTGATTATGGCACCTGAGTCACATGCTGAAACTCTTAGTAATGAGTGGTTGTGAGACGGAGCGGCGGGTGGAATTGGGATGATGGTCAAATAGCCTTTCTTCTGAGGGATTCCAGTTGTGCGAGGATTAAGTAAAGGGTCCGTGACCGTGACCAGGAGCGTGACAGCTCTGGCGCCAGGCCTGCCTTCTGAGTGCTTGGCTGACGGAGCAAGGTGGAAGCCCTGCAGGTGTCAGGCAGGTCTTAAAAGCTGTGATTCATAGACTTTTCAAAGGCTTTGTAATAGGTTCATGAGGCATTGGAAGGGCACAAGAGTGGATCAAGCACAGAGAACAGTGTGAGAATGGCTTTTAAACTTCTAACTGGAATTTCAGGACCTGTGATTTTTGCAAATACACTTTTCATTTTAATTATTGCTTGTTAATTTACTGCACTATCATGCTTTTAGATCTCAGTTTAGCCTTAGAGTCAGCCAGTTCAGTAATATTTAAGCAAAATAAAAAGCTTTATCACATATTTTAAAAAGATGCTTCAATAAGAGAGTAAGACTGCTTTTTCATACAAAAAATTGATGGAAAGCTGTACCTTTATCCAAATTTCTGTGGGGAAGAAAGAAAGTGGCAAGAACAAGACAACAAACTACAGTACTGATTCAGAGATAAAGAAGAACCACCTGTCTACCCATCCCAAGCAGTCACCTTTTTGTTCTTATGTGGCAAGATCTGGTTTCTGTGTGTGTGTGTGTGTGTGTGTTTTAAATTTATTTATTTGTGCTACTGAACTGGGGTCAGGCCACAGGTGCAGGGAGTGAGAGGATTCACCATAGAGTGGGGAGCAGAATAGGCAGATTGATGACGTACACTGCTGAGAGGAGCACAGGGCAAGACAGGAGAGGTCTACTTCACCATTTGGTCACCTCCGGGGCAGGGATCAAACTCGCACTGAGGTGGCTGCAGCTGGCTTGCAGTGCTGCGTCCTAACCCCTTGCATCACCAGGGAGGGCCCTGGTTTCTGATTTTTATTTGAACTCCGCCTTTTTATTTCTCAGGAAAAATTTAAAATAACTTGAGGGTATATCAGGATTGTGTTCAGTTGCATGTGTTAAGTAGCTGACAGCAGTGGCTAAACAAAAAACTTATTTTTCTCACGTGACAAAAAATCCAGAGGTGCCCTCGCTTGGTAACTTCAGCTGTTTGAAGAGGCCGTCTAAGGCCTGCACGGCCTTTCTGACCGTGCAGCTTGAGACCTGGCATCAGGAGTAAGTGGCTAAGCCACAATAGGCACTGACTGTGCTCACGTAGAAGTAGAGGTGAGGCAGGGGATCCCCAGCACACAGGTCTTCGTGAGGTCCTTGGACTTACCGTTGTCTAAGATGGCAGCGGTGATCCCAGGCAGCAGAATGGAGGGAGGCAGGACACAGCAGGAACAGAGTGCGGGACAGTTGCCTTTTAAGGATGATACCAAAGCCATCACAGGATACTTTGTGGATGTTATTGGCCAGCTTAGGTTC